CGGTGAAGATTGCGGGTAAGATATTTCTTTGCCTCTACTGCCTGACATCACTTCGGACTTAATATCTATCTGTAGCTGATCAATTTTGCGGTACAGTGTAGCTGTAAATGTTAACTGTTGAAGCGACGTGATGTTTACTTCAGTCGACTGACTTTTTCAAATATTCAATAAATCATTTGCAGAGCCCATTAAACCAGTCATTGAGGTTTCTAAACCTGGACAAAAGATTCCCGTTGGTGATGGCAGTCCAGTGATTATGAACGTTGGTGATAGCGTGACAGCAGTTTCCAACACTACCATCACCATTAGGTGTCCAGTTAGAGGAGTACCAACACCAGATGTTACTTGGGAAAAAGACGGAAAGCAAGTTACTCCTAGTGGAAGGTTCTCGATCAGCAGCGATAACACTTTGGTGATTAAGGAGGCAGTAGTTGATGACAGCGCAGAGTACACGTGTAGTGTCAAAAGCGTGGCTGGAACTGACAGCGAATCGTCGACAGTGGAAATAATACGTAAGTTTTTACGTGACAAACAATGACCCATTCCCTCTATCAGATGTGCCTGCAAAGAATCATGGTAGTTGTATTTATCATCTTGGATTGGTAATTTGTTCTGATGAACCACCACGATTCAAGGAAGGCAATTATCATAGAGAGAATGGGTCATCGAGATATGCGGTGGCTAATGGCTAGCACGCAGCACTCCGCATCTCTCTGTTCGGATTCGAACGCTGGTGAGAGCCACTCTGTTGCATTCGTAATCAAGGCAAAGTGTTAGAGCAACATCGCAAAGTCCTTGGGGTAACCTTCGATGGAAAACATTCCTTCCAGGGGCATTAACAATACTACTAGTTTGTGTACTCTTAGTCTTAGCTAAATTCCTAATCTAGTATCTAGTACTTCACGCCACGGAAACCGGGGCACGCTCTGGCAGTTCGTGCTAGTTTGGCCCAGGCGACTATCCGTTTAATAGCAATTCACGTCACTTAAAACAGGATGCGTAACCATGGCCAAAATCTTTTCCTTGGAAAAAGTATTAATTTTCTCTTCTCTTGAAACATTTTGTTCTTTTTCTTGAAAAGCGCCCTCCAAGCCTGTAGTAAAAATCTCTGACAAACCGAAGACAATAGAGGCCAGAGATCGAAGTCCCATCACCATGACGATTGGTGATAACGTGACAGCACTTGCCAATACAAGCATTACCATTCAGTGTCCCACCAGCGGTGTACCAACACCAACTGTCACCTGGACAAAAGATGGTGAAGAAATCACCAATGACGGCAGGTTCACAGTTCAGAATGATGGTTCATTGCTGATCAGTGAAGCTGATGTGGAAGACAGTGCTCGATACACGTGCACTGCAGGGAATGTTGCTGGTAAAAACAGCGCATCAAGCATGGTGAAGATTGCAGGTACTTACTTTCTTATTCCTCTATGTGCTATGTAGCGCCCAAGGCCGAACGGTTTCTTTAGCGTGTGGTCTTTTTACGTGGCAGGGTCACTAGCCCTGCGCACTACCCTTACCCGTTTACATTCTGGGCTTGGATGCAGGCAACGTTTTAGTTAAGAAAGCTGGTAAGTTAAGTGGAAATGGCTAACGAAAATCACAAATGCCTCCAAAAAATATCAAAACTAAAGCAATTCCATGTACGTCATATTCGTTTCTTCAAGTTTGACTTGGTTTTTATATAAAGTACACCTTCATCAGGCTGAAAGTGGTGCTCTTGTTACAAGAAATTTGTTTATGTAACAGAATTGTACTTGAGTGAACAGCGTTCTCAGCGAGAAACATGAATTTCTTATCCTGTAGATTTGAAGAAGCCCTCCATTTTAGTCCAGAAGCCAGGCCCAAGGGTTCCAATTGGAGATGGTAGCCCAGTTGTCACACCGGTTGGAAGTCAAATCACAGAGATTGCCTTTGTTACAATCTCGCTGACGTGTCCCGCCAAAGGCTCACCTCCTCCAAAACTCACTTGGAGAAAAGACGGCGAGGAGTTGGTATCTGGCGATGGATATGTCATTGATAACGAAGGCACGCTGACGATACTACAGGCGGTATTAAAAGACACGGGCAACTACACTTGTTCAGCTCAGAATGAGGCTGGTTTTGAGGAAGTGACTTCATCCATTGAAATTTTAGGTATGTTAAAGAGGTGCTGTTTTGTTTATCAAAACAACTGCCGTGTTGGGATGTGTCGATTGTGAAGTGAAATACTGGTTTATTAAAATTTGTTAATGATGATAAAGTAGTAACGCCGGTGAACGTGCACATCAGGGAAAGAAACTATCGACTTCCGCTAATTATGATGTCGTGTACAGTCAGATAACGTAAATTCAAGTATTTTTTTCTCCTGTGGATAACTTGACACACTCTTGTCAAAAGGAAACAGTTCAAATTTAGAACCCAGCTGGACTTGCCCGGGGACTTTGGCAGCTATAGAGGGTGCATTATAAAGGAGGTTACTGCCGAGGATAACATAACGCATAGAAAATGCTTAGGCATTTCACTTACTCTTCGTCCATCCCTATATCAAATAAGTTTTGTTCCTTTGTTAGAGCCCCTGGAACCACTTATCCTACCTCCACAAGGTTCCATCATCTCAGATGACCACAAACGAGTTACCGCAGGAGTAGGTTTAAAGATTGACGCCCTAAAAGGAGCTACAATTACAATAACGTGCGAAGTTAAGGGTGTTCCAAAACCCAAGGTGAGCTGGAGTAAAGATGGCCGAAACATTTTACCAGACGAGCGATTGGTACTGGGCTCTAAGGGAACACTTATTATCCGGGACTCTACTCTTGATGACAGTGGAAATTACACGTGCACTGCAAGTAGTAGGACTGGGCAGACCAGCAGCACATCTCCTGTGGCAGTCTCAGGTAAGGCCGTTGCAGTTTGATCGCTATTTTAGTATTGTCCTGTTTCGGGTTAACGAAGAACGCATCTATGCAGCGTCAAGGGTAATTATAAACTGATGAAATATGTAAAACAATTCTGAAGCATAATATGAAACAATGCGTAGATTGGTAAAACATGTAAGCTCTCACTAGCATTTTTGAACATATTACTTTAGGTTGATATTAACTCAACAGATGTCTTAAGCCTATGTTTTCAGCGGTCTTAGAAATTTGTTCGCCCAGATATACCTCAGCTGAGATCGGCTTGTACTCTCGTAGGAGTGTTTCGTTCTGTGCAGGTAATTGAAACTACAATACATACTTTCTTTTAGTGGCTAGCAAGCCCTCCATAGAGCGGTCAGAGGACGAGGTGTCCTGGGGAAAAGAGAGCCTTTTGACAGTCGCAGTAGGCAGCAGAGTGGAGATCATTAATGGTTCGTCAGTAACCTTGGTATGTAATTCCAGCGGTTTCCCTCCACCTAAGCTGACATGGACACGTGGAATTGAGGCTTTACCAAATGACGACAATCACGAGATCGGTGAACAAACGCTGACAATCCGTGATGTTCAGTACGCGGACGCAAATGAATACACGTGTACGGCTGCTAACCAAGCGGGGCAAGATGCTGCCACCACTGAACTTGTCGTGAAAGGTGCGTCATGTTTTCAAGAATTAATTTCAACCGGTAAACCTGTAGACGCAATTTATTTATACAGTCAACTCCCGATAACTGGAACCTTCAAGGGAAATTGAAGAAGGATCGAGTTATGGGGACTTGAGAACAAACAACCGGAAAATGAGGAAACAAAAACAGTGTATAATGTATTTCTATTCACACAATGTATTATTTAATCAAATTTAACTATAGAGAAGTCGAGTGAAAATGGGACAATACATTTCTAAATTACTGTATAAATCAGAACGTATACACGTAATGGGAAACAAAGAAAGCAAAGCAAAGCAGCAGGAGAGGTCCAGGTTCTGCGAATTTTGCAGGTTTCAAAGAGAACAAAGTCGGTCTATTGCTACAGAGTTCATGTGATTTATTTCTTCGAGAAACAGTTTCAATGTTTTGGACTACAGTACTGACTGTTTTGAGTTGTCACGTCTTGACAAAATGGTTCGAGTTATCGAGGGTAAATAATATGGAAAATGGCCTGAAGGGAAACGAAAATTGCTTCGACTTAGCGAGGGTTCGAGTTATCGGGAGTCGACTGTAGCTTGTGCACCTTGTGTGTTTCCAGACACTTTACTCTCTCGGTCTTCTCGTCTTGGCTCAGCCAGTTGTACAAACGAGTACTGGCAACTCCAAGATTCAACTTGACAGAATGCTTTAAGGTCACCAACTATGACCCAGCATCTTAAACAGGGGAAATTAAGATACTCTTAGTTATTATATACCACAGAAACCGGAGTTAAGCACCAGGTAGGCAGGTTTTCTTTCGCCGTGCAAAGTGGAAAGAGTTGACGCAAGGCCTTATATGCCACCAGCGGTGTAAGAAATGTTGATGATATGGAAAGCGGGTCCCTTAGCCCGAATTTCTAATGCTGATTGTCTCTCCATATTTACCTACAGGGCCGGGAAGACCAGTCATTTTATCGCGCAAGATAAATATAACAGACGTGGACAGCAGTAAGCCTGTTGTTGTACCCATAGGCGCCAACGTGACCACTATAGTCAACGCAACCGTCGTCATCACGTGCCCCAATAAGGGCTCCCCTCAACCTATCGTCACGTGGAGACATGATCGGCGGTTTATAGTGGCGGGGGCAAGGTTCCAAGTGAATGACACAGCTTTGATAATCAGAGAAGTTCGGCTTGACGACGCGGGGCGTTACGAGTGCACGGCGTCGAACCGCTTTGGTCGTGATGTTCAGTCACTGACCCTCGATATCACAGGTACTATGGCCACAAAATACCACAGTTAAAGAAGATATCTGTTAAAAACAGTTTCTGTTAGTTTTTACTTTGTCTACCAAGTTAGAAAAGAGCTCTGCGTCTCAGCTAGCCTGTAGTTATCTTATCATCGCATTTGCTGTACCCAATTAGTCTACCCACGATCTAGTCGTATTAACAGTTTCGGCGTATGTAAGAAATGAACGACCGATCTTTTGTTCGGGCCAAAAGAAAAGGGACGTAGCAACATGGTTTTAAGGTGGCGGAGAAGGCTCGTACTCTACAAGGGAAATATTGATATATTACGTATGTCACAAATTTCTTGACTCTTGACCCGGGAACAAAACTCACTGTCTCTCGTGTAGCTAGTCGTCAAGGCCTTAATGTAGGCATTGAAATCCAAAATGGCGTGAACTAAATGATTGTCAAGTATTTGGTTGATAATTCAAACTTTCTTCTGCAAAAATGCTGTTATAGGACAACAGATGTATTTGAATCAATCCCGTGGAGAGATTTTGTTCGTTATCTGTCGTGTAATGCTTCCTCTCCAACAGTAAGAAGGAAAGGAAGTTATACAGATGTCACTCAAACATTCTGTCTTCTTTGCAGTGCCTCCGTTGATCAGCAATGTTAAAGGCTCATTTGAGATAACAGACATACGAGATCTTGTTTCCATAACAACCGGGGCCGTGGTTACCATCCCAAGAGGAGTTGCTGTCAGAATAAAGTGCATAGCAACGGGCGTTCCGTCACCAAATATAACTTGGTACAGAAGAGGAGAAAATAGCAAGGAGAAATCTTTACTGGTGCCCAATGAAAACACGAAAATAATGAAAGATTATTCACTCCAGATAGCTCATACTTTAGTGGTTGATGCTGCGTACTACACTTGTGTTGCTACAAATATCGCAGGCCAAGATGAAGGAACAACACATCTGAATATTGGAAGTAAGAAAATACAATTTCAAACCTACTGTTTGTATTGCGTATAAGGCTTTCGGTGTTTTATGTCTTCCCAGAGACATACAGACTTTCTTGCCGTTTCTCGTTATTATAATTTAGTTATGTTCGCAACTCGCATGTTATTCCATAAATGAAGGAAGGAACATACGAAGAAACGAATCGAAAATAATAACAACGGGCCGGATGAAAAAATTACCCAAACGGCAGATTGGCTGACCGAATGAATGAATCAGTTGACTGACTGCCTGCCTGACTGACTGACTGACTCACTGACTCACTGACTGACTCACTGACTGACCCACTGACTGACTCACTGACTGACTCACCGACTGACTGACTGACTGACTGACTGACTGACTGACTCATTGACTCACTGACTCACTGACTCACTGACTCACTGATTGATTGATTGATTGATTGATTGATTGATCGATCGACCGATCGACAAACCGACCGTCTGACGAAATGATTGATTATAATGCTTTAAGATTCGTATTTGTTTTCTCTTCTAGCGATTCATTTGTTCACTAATCAATACGTATAAGAGATTATTTATACGTTCAACTGATCATATATTTCCTTCTTTACGTAATTGTAGCTCCTCCAGAGATTCCAACTTATTGGCGAGGAGTCAAATCTCGATTTGGCGACCAAGCTCGAGACTCGAGGAAATCAAGTGGTGCAGTAGCTACAGTGGTGAAGGGAGCAAATTTGAACATTAAGTGTGCTGTCGTGGGTAACCCTAAACCTACAATCAAGTGGATTGTAGCTACCACAGGCCGACAGAGACGTTATACTGTCCTAAATGACGGCACATTGGAAGTTCCAAACGCAGATTTAGAGGATGAAGGAAACTACACTTGTATCGCAAACAACTCTTTTGGAGCACTGAATAGGACGACAAGTGTCAGCATTTTAGGTAATAAGCTGTAGGCTATGCCAAGCTGAGTTCTGCTACTTTGGTCGCAATAATGTCTGACTAAATTAGTTGATTCGCCTGGAAATTTATCGTCATTTAGTCATTGGCTTCATTGGCTTACAAATCAAGCTTGCATGTGTTTTAAAATGTAACTCATATCCAACCTAACCTTCCTCATTCGCAATTGGCGTTACTATCACTCTGTCACACGTCCCTCCTTTCTCGTGAACGATATTTGAAATGCTAGGGTCCCAAACAATAAATCAGTGCCTTGCTATCCTAAAAAAGCCTTGTTACCAGTCATTAAATTGGATTATTATATGACTTGTGTTTGTAGCCGATATAACGCGCGCTCTGATTGGCTAACTGTAGGGCATTATTCTCCCGTAATGCCCACGAGCCCATTACGGGCCTGCAAAGTCAGAGCAAACTACTTATTAACCTCGACAGTTCGGCCTTTACGAGAAAATCTCAAAACTCGACCTTGCCGTATTGCCCTCGCTATCATTTGGTCAATACGTCATGGTCTCGGTTAGAGATTTCTCCGTAAAGAACCTCACTCTCGGTTAACAAGTAGTTATTCATAGATTTAACAAGCGTGGTAGTATTATCCTCAACATTTTCCATTTCCTTTTAGTACCTCCTGAAATCCTTGAGCGCCATTTTAGACATCTCTACGATGAAAAACGAATTGAAGGCTATGCAATGGCTCAGATGGAAGTAAAACGAAGGACGATATCCTCCCTCACTGTAGAAGAAGGTTACAATCTAATATTGATATGCACTGTGAGTGGAAAGCCTAAACCTCGTGTTACTTGGAGTAGAAACAGGGTGGTGATCAAGAATGACACCAGGCATTTGTTACTACCAAACGGAGTGCTGTTAGTGCGACATGTTCTGGTCAAGGAGTCAGGCCAGTACAAGTGTGTTGCTACTAACGTCGTTGGAGAAGATCAAGGAATTGTGCAGCTCACTGTTAAAGATCAGGCCAAGGGTGAGTAGGAGGTTTGAAATCTTGACGCTTGCGACGACGCTGCGCTTATATGGTCGTGTACCTCTCTTTTAAAACAAGAATGTTTTAAAGCAAGGATGTTTTTTTTTGTTTGTGCCGTGTACACAAATTAAAATTCACCCTGTACTAACAACTGTGGTGGCTTCCACTGTAAGCCTGATGGTTTTTTGGAGGTCTCCTCGCCGCCTTTTTGTTTGTTATTGTATATGTTTATGGTGTGGCAAACAAAACATGTTGATCACGGTGATGGTGATGAAGAGACTGTTGTATCGCACTCAGAATTGAGGCCTTCATACCTTCTCCGTTCATTGGTTAATCTTGTGACAAAAATAACGCAACTTGAGAAAATGAAACTGCAATGGTATGACTTAAATGCTGGTTTTAAGTGTGACACCCAAACAAACGGTAATCGTTCGCAGTTCGTGAATTTAGTAATGTAAATTAACGCTCTTTAGGAGGATATGCACTTTGACAGCTGACGATTTGAGATCAAGCCGTTTGTGGGCCTAACCACTGCGCTCGTCACTCAGTGAAAGTCCAGCGTTCTTTGATTTTTTCTTTTGCACTTATTTCGTTGTGCTGATATTTTGCTTTCTTTTTCCGATTTCAGCCTGAAATTTACTATTATGTGAGTAATTAGTGTTGCGTGACTTTGACCCCTCGTAATTTGTTTTCTAGGTTATTGGAAAGTAACGGATTGGAGCAAGGCAAGTTTTGAAACTTTCTTTAATAATTAAGGCGATCACTGAATAATAATACTAAGTTGGAAAAACGGCTAATAATAATAATCTGAGAAGCCTCGTACGAAGACGCAAAAGTTGCCCCCTTAAGAAAAGGATAAAGTTCCATGAAATGTTAACAAATACTAAAAAGTACGGTTGTTTATTTGTTTCAATTTTTGGAGACTTTTAAACCCAGGAAGTTGTCAGTTTTCTTTACCAACCGTTTTATGTAAACTTACGTCAAACAATTCACTCGTGACTGTCAAATTTATCGCGCCTTCACTGGTCGAGAGCCATAGTCTATAACAGTTTAATGACGCCCTAGGTCAGGTCCCTGGTACGCACAATATCTACCCTCCAATGGACGCATGATGAACTAGAACGATGCTTTTTGTTTGGTTTTATTCACCAGTAATGGTGTTTGTCCGTAGTTTATTTCAATTATTTTAATTTTAACTTGTTGGACAACTTGCCGGTTGGAATATGTTTTCGATTAACAGATGTCTAACCTTGGATTTAAAAAATAGGAGGTAGTGTCTTCACAAGAGAAAAAGTTTTAGAATGTAACTCAAGCTTCTCTTAAAATCATTAGTTCAACATGTACATTCATATATCACAATTTGACACCATAGCATGAATAAAACAGTTTCAGAATCACTCGTTATCTTTCGTAGTCTCTCAATCTGATTGTATTATGGTCCATCTATTTTGAACTTAGTGTGAGAACTGCGTGACGCACCTCCGTGGATGGCAGGAGAGACATATCAGCTGTATTGGTCCGGGTGGTGCCGTTGTTAGTGACTTGCATTGTATTCACAAACCTAAACCAATCAAACGCCAGCGGTGTATTCACAGAGACTGTCATGTAATTTGGTCGGCGTCTGTTTGGTCAGCGGTAAGTACCCATCCCGATCTCAATCAAGCGAATAAACATTCAAACCATCATTGAATTATTTACGATTTTATTTTGAAAGTCGTGATTACTGATTTCTTGATAATGTCTCTTCGTCAGTGTTCTCGATCCTGTGGCTTACATGGAATTAAACTGCGCAACGTGAAATGCGTATTTGCAAAAAGCTTAAAACCAGCGAAGGGTCAGTGTGGATGGCAGGAAAAACCGGCCTTACAGGAACCTTGTAACAGAAAATCATGCACTAGAGGTTAGTATCTCCCGCATTAACCGACTTGTGAGGTTATCATATCTACTAGGGCAAAAAGAGCAAGATTTCCTTACCGAATTAAAAGTTTGTGTAGAGGTTGCCTGCGTTGAAGTCGTTTCCTTTGCGAAGGCGCGAAAGGTGCAGGAATTGGGCGCAAGGGGGTGGGGGAAGAGGTCGGACAGGGAAGAAAACGCTTTGTTCCATGTGGCGACTCAAGCTGTTAGGCAAATCTCAGGCTCTTACCAACGAAACGATCGTAACGCGGGCTAACGTAGAACGCTCATGCTGAAGCCTATGCATGAGGCATAGCCATTGCAGAGGCCTGTTCCAGGTGTTCAGTTAGTTGGGCAGCAGCGTGATAAACGACGAAAGAAAACAGCACCAAGCACCTTTCTCCTTTTTTCGCTCGTTGCTTTTTCGCGCTGTACCCCAACCAACTGAACGTATCGCAGAGGCTAAATTTGCAGCCAGTGCATGCAAGTAAACTAAAATTAACATCAACTGCTTTGCTCTTGTAACATTATTGCAACATTCTTTCTTTTCTCTCTCCAGCTAACTGCGTAGACAGAGTCAAATACTGCGGCAAGGTCAAGAAAATTGGAATGTGCGCCGTCTACTCCCGCTGGTGTTGCAACACGTGCCACACAGCATAATAGTAAAAAATAATATTACCTATAGAAAAATTTGCACAAATGAACATTCTATTTATTGAACGAAAACTTTTCAAGCAATTTCTCAATTGTTTGCCGACTCTACGTCGCGACATTGGTAGCTGTAGTGTGGACACAAAACTTCAAGGGCGGAGAAGAAATTTGAGATAGAAGGAAATAAGGTTTCCCTGCCCCTCAGATTTCATTTTCTCAATTTGAAGAACAAAATTGAAACCATCCGTTTGCGTTCGTAAGACATGCCGCCAAACAAACGTAGATTTTTGGCTAAAAAAAGAGAAGAAAACTTGATCATCAACGTAAAAAGAACAGTTAAATATTGCAACGAAATAAGTGGCACTTCACTTTATTTTATGTAACAAAAACGACCTCTCCAATTATAAATATTAATGAATATGTTATTTGCTGATGTTCGTCAGCTTTAAAGTAATGGGTAATGCATGGCGATATCAAATTTTATCTATTATCTGAGATACTTGAAAATAAAACTCTTGGCTGGTAGTGGTCTGTCTTGAACTTGTTTCTACACGTATCCATTCGTGGTTAGCATTGAAATCCTCGACCTTGATTAGGGTTTTCGCGTTATGCTCAAATTTTTTACTTTTATGCTAATGCTTGAAAAAATCTCACCATCACGCTGGAAAGGCATCATGGTTATGCTCCATTATGCTGACATAGCTTGAACGACGCCTCAGTGTAATTCTTCATTACTCTAGGTTGTTACTGTGAAATTCTCTACTTGCACAAATCCCACACTCATAATACACCTCTTTTACCCCCAAAATTTTGCATAATCATTGTTTGCATTTTCTCCTGGGACATGAAGATGTCCCAAGAGAAATCTAAAACAATGCCTATGCAAATTGTTTTGGGGAAGAAGAGGTGTATTATGGGATTTGTGCAAGTAGAGAATGAGTTTTTTAAGATAACTGCAGGAATTCTCGCGCGCTCATTGGCTAATTTTTATTGCCAATAAGCGGACAGACACATGAATTTATAATTTATGCGATGCGTCAACGAGCGAGAGCGGACAATTCGTTATCTTAAAAAACAAATTGATGTCAGTTTTTAATGTGTCTGTCCTGTTACTGACAATGAATTTCATCATAACATTGTCAAAGTAGATTCATGATCAATAACAGGACAGACACATGAAAAACTGATGTCAATTTGTTAATGCTAGTAATGAAAAACCTCACCCTAATTCAATTAGCAAAATCTTTAGACATGTGCTGTGTGTACTGCATAGTCAAGGGACTGGTGCCGAGATTTCGCTTGGCCCGCGGAAGCCCCAACCGTCAGCCAGTTTTTGTCACTATTATTCCGACATGATTGTCGATTCTTTTGCCTCACTATTATGCTCAAAATAATGCCTGCATGATGTGTAAAACCCTAATCTTGATTCATAGCCAATGGCGGATCGAGGGGAGAAACCCCTGAAAAGTGGGACCCGAAAAGCCCTCTCCCCCTTTGTACAAATATGTCCAGGATTGACCGTCAAAGATATGTACCATCTTTAGGATGAATATCACAGAGTGTCCTTACTGTTAAAGGAGTAAATCTTATTTATAGTGGTCATGCACTTAGCTATACAAGCACTAAGCCTTGCTAGTTTACAGGCATGCCACTGAAACAAAGGAAACAAATATTTCAAATAAACGTAACATAGTTAAAAATCCCAACTGGCAGGAGGCAGACCAGTTGGCTATTTACAAAGCGTGACCGAGGATTTGAACTCGAGACTACCGAGAAACAAATCCCACTAGTGGCAGGGTGGACGCCTTGAACCTGGGACCTTCGGATTACAACACCAACGCCCTAAACCACTCGGCCACGCTGCCTTCAAACCCCTGTTATACCTTGCGGTGGTACGATAATTATCAAAATATTTTTCATTTTACAAAACGGTTCTCAAATTCAAATGACAAACAACGAACCAGTTAACATTAAGAATTTAGAAAACTGCCATCTATTTGAATTTCATCGCAAGAGATCAATCTGACAACTCCTTTCGAGCGTCCTACTAGTTTTGATTGTATATTCTGTATGTCTTACAAGTTTCTTACAACTGGATATCACATCTAAAAACTGGTTATCGCATTCTAAATACTTAAATAGTGGTCACCTATCTTTCGTGAATCCTAAATAAAATCAGTTCTGCAAGCGTTCCGTAGATTAGTGACTTTTGTTGCAAGCGAACTCAAAACGTTGCACTTAAGCAGCGGCTACGCAATAAAACATTTACATTTGCGTAGTTTTCGCGCTATTTTTTTGATCGGAAATTCTGTTAATCGGCCTTCTGTCGCAGAAAAGCAAACCTAATACGCGCATATTGAAGATTTTGGCCGATATTGCAGATTACAAAAGTAATGACTGAATGTACACATAACACTTTTCCTCTGTTTCCTAATATGAAAATATCAAGTGCAGCAAAGGAAGCACTTAATGGTACTAAATAGAGAAAATTCCCATTTGTTTGTGCATTGTCCCGCGAACTCTTCATTGTACACGAGTTTAAAATTGTTATAAATACAAATTATATCTTGAGCAAATCACCCCCTAAATTTCAAATTTGACTCATTCAAAATAAACCCTTAGTTACGCAGCTGCTATATCCATGCTACGCACATTTTCAGAAATAGTCTCAAACACTTTATGCCCTGTTTCGGTCTCGTGATCAAACACAAATGTTCCTTTGCCCTTCACGAGCGCATCATAAGGACAACTGACTCGGGGCCACACATAGTCGTCATCATACACTGTATCCTTGGCGAGTGTCTCGGAGGTCTTGAACAGGGAGCTCCGGTCACGGAACATCTTGGGAGGGACAACATTAAATCTTTTGTACTTATCCAGGAATTCCGACTTCTCCGGGCTCTTTTCCTGAATTGGTGGGAAAATTTCATTTTTGATTCCTGGGCCCTTTGAATGCACTACAGGTTCGTAGAACCATTTAAAACTGAGGCCGTAGTTGGTCTTGTCATCCAGGGCGTCTTCTCGTCCAAATCGCAGCTTAGTTCGCGGTCTAGCGGTCCTGGCTGGGACGGCTTTCTTTCCAAAATGGGCGTAGTCCATATGTGTTGTCTGACAGTCCATTGCCCCATCGGGTGTTTTGTACTTCTCCGGTTCTTTTTGCTTACGTGGTGACAATTCCCAGCTCTTGAAATCTTCATTTTTTGTGGTCTGCTGTTGTATGGGATCAGAACTCTTAAACAAATCACTGACAGGGTTGAACATTGGAGCTTTAGGCGCGCCACGGAAGTCCACGAAGTCTTCCTTGAAAACCGAGTTGCTGTTAAAAGGTTCTTCTGGGGGCACGCGTTCCTCTCTCTTGCGCTCGTACCGCTGTGGTATCTCTTTGTTTGTGAAGTCCGTCCTGTAGTGTGTGACAGACGAAACGGGACCCTCGTATCTTATCTTGTCTGGCTGGCGCCCGGTGGGGCGTGGTGGCTGGTTAAACCTCTGAAAATCCTGTCGGTGGATGGACGTTTCTTTAAAACGATCGGTGGGAGGCGCGTAAGAGTTGCTGCGCTGCACACGCTGGACCTGCGGAGTCCAGCCTTTATAGTCGTCATGCGAGATGGATTTGTAGACAACCTTAGCTGAGGGAGCTCGCATGGTTTCTCCACGGAGGTATGGCGGGATTTTAGCAGGAATGGTGCGCACTCCACGGTAATGGTCTCGGTGCTCCGACACAGTTTCAAATGGGTTTGGATTTGGTACGTATTTCTCGGGCTCTTTCTGCTTAGGAGGTCTAACCTCAAAAGGTACAAAGTCTACCTTATGCGTGGTGTCTTTGTCAATGTCCCCTTTACTGATAAGTAGATCAGCTGGACGGCGAAACGGTCCCCTGTTACGCTGCCCTGGCTGATAACTTGTCTTGTACTCTGAGTTCACGTGACAACGATCTTGATTGGATTTGTTGATAATTCGGTTTGGACTGGCACCCTCGTGTGGACATCGATGACGTCTGTAAATTAAAATGCATTTTCATCATCCCGCAAGATTTTCAGTTCTTATCTCTAATAAACCAATATGGCAGTAACAGACGATTACGACAATACAGTTCAACCCCTATTGAATGGCCCAAACCCTTGAGAAAATGGATAGTGGCCGCTTCAAAGGGGGTGGCCGCTTCAAAGGGGCTGGCCGCTTAATAGAGGTAAAACAATAGAAAAAACCTCATCGGGACTTTGATTACTGGCCGACTAATGGGAGTGGCCGTTTAATAGGTGACCACTTAATAGGGGTTCAATTGTAATCCTTTCCATTTTTTTTCGGTTGGGATATCTGTGGGGGGTGGAACTTCTAGGGGAGGAAAAAGGTTACTGAGGGCGACTCATAAGAAAAGCACGAGAAAACGCAGAAAACCATTTTGGGATGAGTTGATAAAACATAACTGTATATATCACCTGCACCCACAGCTTAGCCATACCCTGCCCCTATACTGTTGTTTTCCTTGGGGGTAGGTATGGCTACCCTAGGGGGAGGGGGGTGGGGTTCCCATCTTAAAAGGACAAGGTGCTTGTCAGAAATTTTGAAAAGAACCCTAAGAGGTACCAAGATCCTGTGTTGTGGCGTAGCTTGAAATTGTTTTCACACCTAAGAGGTACCAGTTCTAAAACAACACATTATCTCCTGTCATATTTTTTTGGCTCGATAACCTAAAGTGTACCACGAAAGCTCCCGCTGTGGACCTTTTGGGGCTGAACACCCTAACAGGTACCAAAATCATGTTTTTAACCCCTAAAAGGTACGACAAGCACCCCAGTCATTTTAATATGGGATTCCCCCTACCCCTGCCCCTCCCCCCCCTCCCCCAGGATGGCTACATAGGCTGAACACCTTGAGATTTACATTTAGCTACTGAACATGTGATGCTCTCTTACATGAATGCACTTTGGGCTTGTAATGAAAGGATTTTCACGAGTGGAAGCACATAATGATCATCAACAAAATGAATTAAAATAAAGTTCTCCTTTATTGTAATGTCTATTATCTCAGCCACCATACTACACCAATCAATGTCTATTTCTATCTCACTGTGTAAAGCATAGTGAGGCAGACAGGTGACAGTGTACAAAAATAAACAGAAATGAAGTACAATGTATGGTGTATAATTTGTCATGATATACAGCCAAATTCCCAAAAGTGAATTTAAAACTTAAATAAGGAGTTAATACAAGGAGGATTAATATCTTGTTTCCTTGAACTGACTACAGTTATTAGTCAATGAAAGGGTAGGGAAATCTGTTGTTTTGTTTATATTTAAAAAGGCTTTTAATTTAAATTTGAACAGATGAACCTTATGGCTGTATCATTTAATTTATTAAGTACTACATGAAAATGACAAAAATGCTTCCTTTTTGACAATTATGAAAGTATATGCAAGGAATGCCTTTTTCAGTTAAGATATACAAAAGAGGTACTTTTTACGTCAAAATGGTATACAAAAGGGTTAGGGCTTGGACCCTAGAAGAATTTGTAGAGTACCCCTCCCCCCTCCCGGGTTAAACATACTCATGTTTTTAAAATATCCTAATACTCTCTTTCCATTTGTGGTAAAAAAGCAAAGAGCATTATTCACAACTGTAAGTATCCCGCTGGTTTAAATCATTATTTCAAACAACTGATCATGAAAGTTCTCCATTTCCTGTAATGAATTGAGCAAGTTTCAATATGACGTGTCTGGTAATCGGATACAAATGAATAATTATTATGTCAACTTCTTGTTTGCTAAAATTTGAGATAATTTTCTCTAACCAGTACAACATCCTAACATCACTTTCACATGCTGAAAAATTATTACTCTAAAATGCCTGAATATTTCAAGTGACATTGCTAAAAGTTAAAAGACTGCACGTCGACTTCAAATTTACATAATAAAGTATTTTACTTCCTATCGATCGAGCATTTATTCATGTACCTGTCTGATGAATGTGTTCTTTGTGCCTCGCTGTTGTATCGAATTTACTTGTAACTTAACACACGAATTACGAATACAATGCTCATTTTTATCATGCAAGCCTCGAAACGGAAAAATATTTGATATGATCCGATCCGTGAACGTTCAATAAACACAAGCTAGCACAATAGCAACATGCCATCTTCGACACTTGCGAAATCGAATACAAGTTCTAATTAGAATCCCAACACAATCGAAGCAAATTTGCGGCAATAAAGCTTATGACATAAACGCGTTCGATAATAAATCAAATTGTAGAAAATGTGGAATATTTATTTTATCGAGTTCTTCTTGTGTTATTTGTGAAGCGCGATCAGGGACTTATGAAGTGGTTTTCGAAGAAAACAAATTTATAATGGTTCCCTTGAACTAACATCTGCCACAGCTGAAGAACATTAGATTCCATGAATGGGTTTCGAATCTCTTATTATCGAATAAAGGACGGATAGATTACAAAACAATTTCTGGTAGTATTACAATAAAGAACGCCTCCTAGCGAATGTTAGAACGAAACTACTTCTCCTATTGATTGTTTACTCAACACGGTAGCATATAGCGATCGATTAAGCACTGGAATTTGAGAAATTAGACAAGACGATTGGGTTCGCTTAGCCGAAAATTGTATCGATCAAAGATAGCTAATAAAACTTACCCGCAAGAACAGATCTGGCAAATACACTTCTTCGACATCTTCACCGCTCCGTAGCTTTCCTCCAAGATGAAGAGCACATAAAGTTTGATTTGTGATTCACAAACCTATTCGCCTTGTTGCTATGACAACTGACTACAGACTGAATCAATACTCATGGGAATTGTCACGCCGGCTGAACAATTGAACTTGTCATTTACTTATTGCAAGCTTCGCAGGTGCATGAAAATTAATAAAGGATTTAACTGATAATGTTACTTCAACTTCAACAGGAAAGAAGAAAAAACTACGATGAAGTTCGATATAACTGCAAGTAAAATCTTCCAGTTTTGTCTCGGCCCCCGGGTTCCGGCCACACTCGTAGCCAGCGCGAGTCGCGTAATCCTCGCGCCTATGACGCGCGTGTAAACGTTCCGCTCAGTTCTTTCGGCAAGCATGAAATCATACAGTTCTATCGCCTCTGAGTGTGGGAAAAGGATTATAGTGTTGTTGATTTTGCTGTTATTTTCGTGGGTCATCCTTTTCTCGCTAGCCTGCTTGCTACACTGCAAGCGCTAAGTTTACCCAAGACTGCTCGGTATAAAAAAAAGAACTTTAATTAATTAAGCTTTCGTCATTCTAGTGTTGGGAACCGCAGTGATAACAGCTTTTACTATATGGCTTACTCCGTGAGTGGGCAAGATGAACCGAATCCTGNCTGGCTGATAACTTGTCTTGTACTCTGAGTTCACGTGACAACGATCTTGATTGGATTTGTTGATAATTCGGTTTGGACTGGCACCCTCGTGTGGACATCGATGACGTCTGTAAATTAAAATGCATTTTCATCATCCCGCAAGATTTTCAGTTCTTATCTCTAATAAACCAATATGGCAGTAACAGACGATTACGACAATACAGTTCAACCCCTATTGAATGGCCCAAACCCTTGAGAAAATGGATAGTGGCCGCTTCAAAGGGGGTGGCCGCTTCAAAGGGGCTGGCCGCTTAATAGAGGTAAAACAATAGAAAAAACCTCATCGGGACTTTGATTACTGGCCGACTAATGGGAGTGGCCGTTTAATAGGTGACCACTTAATAGGGGTTCAATTGTAATCCTTTCCATTTTTTTTCGGTTGGGATATCTGTGGGGGGTGGAACTTCTAGGGGAGGAAAAAGGTTACTGAGGGCGACTCATAAGAAAAGCACGAGAAAACGCAGAAAACCATTTTGGGATGAGTTGATAAAACATAACTGTATATATCACCTGCACCCACAGCTTAGCCATACCCTGCCCCTATACTGTTGTTTTCCTTGGGGGTAGGTATGGCTACCCTAGGGGGAGGGGGGTGGGGTTCCCATCTTAAAAGGACAAGGTGCTTGTCAGAAATTTTGAAAAGAACCCTAAGAGGTACCAAGATCCTGTGTTGTGGCGTAGCTTGAAATTGTTTTCACACCTAAGAGGTACCAGTTCTAAAACAACACATTATCTCCTGTCATATTTTTTTGGCTCGATAACCTAAAGTGTACCACGAAAGCTCCCGCTGTGGACCTTTTGGGGCTGAACACCCTAACAGGTACCAAAATCATGTTTTTAACCCCTAAAAGGTACGACAAGCACCCCAGTCATTTTAATATGGGATTCCCCCTACCCCCGCCCCTCCCCCCCCTCCCCCAGGATGGCTACATAGGCTGAACACCTTGAGATTTACATTTAGCTACTGAACATGTGATGCTCTCTTACATGAATGCACTTTGGGCTTGTAATGAAAGGATTTTCACGAGTGGAAGCACATAATGATCATCAACAAAATGAATTAAAATAAAGTTCTCCTTTATTGTAATGTCTATTATCTCAGCCACCATACTACACCAATCAATGTCTATTTCTATCTCACTGTGTAAAGCATAGTGAGGCAGACAGGTGACAGTGTACAAAAATAAACAGAAATGAAGTACAATGTATGGTGTATAATTTGTCATGATATACAGCCAAATTCCCAAAAGTGAATTTAAAACTTAAATAAGGAGTTAATACAAGGAGGATTAATATCTTGTTTCCTTGAACTGACTACAGTTATTAGTCAATGAAAGGGTAGGGAAATCTGTTGTTTTGTTTATATTTAAAAAGGCTTTTAATTTAAATTTGAACAGATGAACCTTATGGCTGTATCATTTAATTTATTAAGTACTACATGAAAATGACAAAAATGCTTCCTTTTTGACAATTATGAAAGTATATGCAAGGAATGCCTTTTTCAGTTAAGATATACAAAAGAGGTACTTTTTACGTCAAAATGGTATACAAAAGGGTTAGGGCTTGGACCCTAGAAGAATTTGTAGAGTACCCCTCCCCCCTCCCGGGTTAAACATACTCATGTTTTTAAAATATCCTAATACTCTCTTTCCATTTGTGGTAAAAAAGCAAAGAGCATTATTCACAACTGTAAGTATCCCGCTGGTTTAAATCATTATTTCAAACAACTGATCATGAAAGTTCTCCATTTCCTGTAATGAATTGAGCAAGTTTCAATATGACGTGTCTGGTAATCGGATACAAATGAATAATTATTATGTCAACTTCTTGTTTGCTAAAATTTGAGATAATTTTCTCTAACCAGTACAACATCCTAACATCACTTTCACATGCTGAAAAATTATTACTCTAAAATGCCTGAATATTTCAAGTGACATTGCTAAAAGTTAAAAGACTGCACGTCGACTTCAAATTTACATAATAAAGTATTTTACTTCCTATCGATCGAGCATTTATTCATGTACCTGTCTGATGAATGTGTTCTTTGTGCCTCGCTGTTGTATCGAATTTACTTGTAACTTAACACACGAATTACGAATACAATGCTCATTTTTATCATGCAAGCCTCGAAACGGAAAAATATTTGATATGATCCGATCCGTGAACGTTCAATAAACACAAGCTAGCACAATAGCAACATGCCATCTTCGACACTTGCGAAATCGAATACAAGTTCTAATTAGAATCCCAACACAATCGAAGCAAATTTGCGGCAATAAAGCTTATGACATAAACGCGTTCGATAATAAATCAAATTGTAGAAAATGTGGAATATTTATTTTATCGAGTTCTTCTTGTGTTATTTGTGAAGCGCGATCAGGGACTTATGAAGTGGTTTTCGAAGAAAACAAATTTATAATGGTTCCCTTGAACTAACATCTGCCACAGCTGAAGAACATTAGATTCCATGAATGGGTTTCGAATCTCTTATTATCGAATAAAGGACGGATAGATTACAAAACAATTTCTGGTAGTATTACAATAAAGAACGCCTCCTAGCGAATGCTAGAACGAAACTACTTCTCCTATTGATTGTTTACTCAACACGGTAGCATATAGCGATCGATTAAGCACTGGAATTTGAGAAATTAGACAAGACGATTGGGTTCGCTTAGCCGAAAATTGTATCGATCAAAGATAGCTAATAAAACTTACCCGCAAGAACAGATCTGGCAAATACACTTCTTCGACATCTTCACCGCTCCGTAGCTTTCCTCCAAGATGAAGAGCACATAAAGTTTGATTTGTGATTCACAAACCTATTCGCCTTGTTGCTATGACAACTGACTACAGACTGAATCAATACTCATGGGAATTGTCACGCCGGCTGAACAATTGAACTTGTCATTTACTTATTGCAAGCTTCGCAGGTGCATGAAAATTAATAAAGGATTTAACTGATAATGTTACTTCAACTTCAACAGGAAAGAAGAAAAAACTACGATGAAGTTCGATATAACTGCAAGTAAAATCTTCCAGTTTTGTCTCGGCCCCCGGGTTCCGGCCACACTCGTAGCCAGCGCGAGTCGCGTAATCCTCGCGCCTATGACGCGCGTGTAAACGTTCCGCTCAGTTCTTTCGGCAAGCATGAAATCATACAGTTCTATCGCCTCTGAGTGTGGGAAAAGGATTATAGTGTTGTTGATTTTGCTGTTATTTTCGTGGGTCATCCTTTTCTCGCTAGCCTGCTTGCTACACTGCAAGCGCTAAGTTTACCCAAGACTGCTCGGTATAAAAAAAAGAACTTTAATTAATTAAGCTTTCGTCATTCTAGTGTTGGGAACCGCAGTGATAACAGCTTTTACTATATGGCTTACTCCGTGAGTGGGCAAGATGAACCGAATCCTGCCCTATCAGTTACCCGCCTAGGACTACCCGCTGTGTCCCGCAAGAAACATTTCCCCGAAAGCCATATAATATATCCTTTATTGATCAAGCTTGTTCGGTCAAGATGGCTGGATATTGGCCCCGTTCTTTAAATTTTTGCGACTCCATGGTCCATGAACACGCAAAAAAAAAAGAACTTGGCCAATACTGCCAGTCATCTTGACCTCACGCTTGGTCAATAACCCATATACGAATAAACCACCTTAGTATGCTGTTGAGTCTCTGCTCTATCAAGAGCATATCTATGTATCGCACCTCTGCTGTAGCCTCAAATCACAAACACATCAGCACGCGCAGTGGCGCGCGTCCACTCTGAGCTTTGCGTTGAGTGGAATCTGGGAAGAGAAATTGACGAGTGCGAGCGACAGGGGGGACACTCGCTGGCAAGTTGACATTGTAAATGTTATCCACAAAAGAAATACAAGGTAAAACGTGTGAACGTTGACTCTTGGTTCTTATTCTAAACCGTTATATTCTTGGGCGGTTATGAGTTCCTAGTTCTAACGATTTTTTAGTGGTTTTAATCAGTTCAAAACAACGATTTCGACACTTCTCAACGTGGGTGATTGGAAAAAAAATTAAACCGAAGATCTGAAAGATGTCTTTTTTAGTTTTTTAAAGGAACAGTTTTTAAATCTCTTTATTGTTTTATAGTTTTATATTTTATCGCATTATTTCTTTAACCAATAGTTCTCTTCTTTGTAGAGACCTATTAAATAGTCCGTTGAGATGTTCTTTTTTTTTTTTTTAATTTTTAGACAGTACCACATCAGCGTTGCTGTTATATTCGTATGGTGTATATAGAGGATATTAGATGGCCGCTTGGAGATACGAAATTTATATTCGAGAGTTGAAAAATATTTCACGAGTGATATTTTTTAACACGAGAAGACTCGGAAATTTCGCATCTCCAAGCGGCTGTGTAATGTTCCATTTATATAAACACCAATGAAATAACGAATCATTTAACTTTCGCTGCGAAAGGCTTGATTATTTTATTATGTTACCGTAGCAACGCGATCTTTTCGTATGTGAAAATAACATGTTATTTTCACGTGTGAAAATATCATGTTTTCATGCGAAAGCTCACGTGGTATTTCATTGGTGTTAATATAATAAACTGAATACATGCTTTGCCTTACCTTAAACAGGTTAATAACAAGTGGCTTTTTTATTATAACAAAGTAAGTACTTAAAACTCCCTGCTTCCAAACTTTAAACTTAAATGAAACTCTTAAGTGAGCTGATGCAGCCATTAGTTCAGAGGTCCAATATTCACTAATGTTACAAAAGTGATGGGAGGAGTTTTAGAAGTAACGCAAGATTGCCAAACAATAACAAATGATGTAAGCATGACCAGGCAACAAGTGCTCTTGAGTTTAATATTTTACGTTGTATTGAAAACAACCATTTCATTTTTACGCAGGCTCAAGATTTTAAATCTCTTTAGTGATCCACTTGCTTTTAGTTCAATTTTAGTTTTGAGAATTTTGTGGTAGATCAAGGAAATGATATCCTGTTGATTATGTTGATGATTTGGTTTATTCTCTTGTGCAGGACATCAACATATTTTGATATCAAGAGGGAAACATTTAACATATGCTCAGTTCCCTCTTGGGAATCAGAGAGTTGAAGCAATACAATCGTACTATTTGATAAGGTTGTTTAGTTTTCTTTTCACAACACTCACTGGAATTAATTCAAAGCAAAGGCTTTTATTCATAATGACGGGTTTTAAAGCGGCTACTCGTGTCAACAACGTAAGATTTTGCATCGGTGTACTCAGGGTGGCTTGTGAAGTTTGCTGTGAAATGTGCGTACATAAAGAAGGTGGGCAAATGCTTTAGAGTTAGGAGTAATGAATTCAGTTCGACTGGTGTGATCGTTTGGACATTTAACGCGAGCAGAGACTGTTGCCTGAGTGGCAGTCGCCATCTTTGGAGTCTTTAGCACTACAGCGAGTAACCTCAAGCTCTTCACCGCTGCTTCCCGCAAGCGCACAAGCCCCGCTTCAAATGTGAGTCTACTTTCTGGTTTACGAGCCACAAAACACCGTCGGTGGTCACCGACAGCAATCGCTTGCTCGAGACAAGGCCTTAACTCGGACGATCACACCAGGTGAACGTGCTAAGCATTTATTGTAGGCAAATTTGTCTTACGTAAAGGGACCGCTACGTTGTCGGTGTCTGCATGACAGCTCCTTGTTAATCCAGCGGTTCAAGAGCGAAATGACTAGTGTGTTAACAGACTTACACGCTTATCATTGTAGCATTACGATATAACATTGAAGCGGCACACTTTAAAGTCAAAGGAAACTATGCTGCGTCAAAAGATCCCTGATTAATTCCACCCATGTGAAAAGCAAAATATTGGTCAACAACAACGAACTTTATAGTAAGTCTTGCAAGGAAGAAACGTGAACTTTAAGAATAATTATAACTTGACCACTGAAGCAAGGGAACTTACTGTGCTGAGCTTGATCCTAACAACTTCACTCGATCTCAAACGATACGATTCACCTGTAGCTGTTTGTACGCGCGGGAATTTTACAACGACTTCGGCCGACCGCCGCATATCGGGGTCTATTTCAACGTTTGTACACGAAAATAAACAATATCCATAACGTTTATTTACTCTATTTCCGATTACGACAGACGAAAAATGGACGTCAGTTTCTCTTCTTCCCTTTAATGCGACGGTTTTTGCCAAGGTAGTATCTGCAGAAGATTCTGTTCCCGCGTTGTTATGTCGGTGACGGATGGAAACGTCGAGTTTGTAAGGAAGAGGATGAGTTGAAAAACCGTCTCGTGTCGCCATAGCGATAAAAATACTCTCACTACGAGATTAATAAGATAGCACACATAGTAAATTAGCCGCTTTTATCAATTAATTGCGTTAATTTGCGCCGCAGAGCCTGCATGGAAAGGAACAACAGAAGTAGCAGAACGTACACGCCATCCTTGGTGAAGACAGTTGTCCGGCACCGCACAAAGTGCAAACTGACTCTGACTTCGCTGAGGTGATCTGCACCAGACGTGCTTCAAGTGCACTAGTAAGAAGATTTCAGAATATCATTTGTTTCAAGTCACCACGTTCTTGAGAGTAAGTACTAAGTATTGGAATCCTTTGAAAATGTGTTGCATAATGCGTGGTAGCTGTTGCAGGACTGTTTCTTGAATACGTTAGTAAATCAAATCGGCAAATTGCGTTCGCAAGCTGGTTGTCTGTAAAATGGTTGACTTTTCGAGTCATGTAAACAGTTTGCCGTCCCCTTGAGTTCTCCTTAACATTCTACGCACGTAGCAGGTCAAGAACTTCGGCCCACTTCTACACTGACGAAATTCAGTTTAACAAATCGGCGGACTGATACCGTATCTCAATTCTTGCACGGCACGGTTGTCTTGGATCAGAGCTTTTGAAAATCTATAAAAGGATTACATAACTTCACCAGCCTCTTTTACACACCCAATAAAAATGATTGATTAACATCATGACTGCTAGTTAGTCTTGTTGTCTACGCAATGCATACATAAATAAGTTACAATGACCGAATCTCCAGAGGGCTTGCCACTTTACAAAAAATATGGGTACTTCTTACGTGACCGTATGATGGTAATTTTTAGGCAGAAGCTTGTTATAGCCAGTTCTAGACAGTTCTTCACTTATTAGGTATATTGTAGCTGTTCACAACGTTAAAATATACGGGTTAAAGTGATAAAATGTAGTGTCCTCAGACTTGGCGGCGGTTAAGTTAAGCTTAGCCGGACTTATTCGGTCATTCACTTGGCATTCTTGCCATACTTTGTCGAGTGTGATATATAGTTTAAGACAAGTGCTTTGTTTGTAGTGGTCTTTAAAATGTCCTTATGAAGCAAAGGAGAAAGCACATCATTTCAGTGTTTCGTTATATTTCACTTTAACCTCAAACAAGAGTTTAGTTGGGGTTTTCAGTTCTACCTTTTTGCCACGTTTTTTTTTTCAAGAAGTAGTTCAAAACTAATTTGGCGATCTTTAAACGACCTTTTGACTAAAAAGAAATAAACTCCTTGCAGAGTAAGCCCGCCCAAATGAATCAAGACCTTCATTGATGCTGGCAGCGGCTTTGATCTCAGTTGTTTTTCGTGGATTCAATAAACGAATTGTTCATATGAACAAACTCAGGCGGGGTATCGTGGCCAAAAATGGCAACCGCATTGTTCCTCTCAGCGTGTGTGTATTCTCTTTCATTAAACCATGTTTTTAAGCCGGACTGAACCTTGAATAACTGTTACAAGAGAGTCAACCTACAGCTGCGAGATACAAAGAACGAACTAACGGCGCGAACAAAGCGGGAGAAAAGCTCAGTCAAAGCTCCCAATTGTCACAGACTGTTTTAACAACAGTAGCGGCGCCAAATCAACTGGCGCAAGACAAATCAGGTACTGTTCACATCCTTGCGCTAATCTTCTATGATTCTTCTGTTCGCTAGCTTTATTATCTCTTACTACATTCTTAATTAACTTCCCAAGAAAGTCTAATCAACAAGGAGCAATTATCGAAAGAGTAAACTAAACAACGATCAGCAATCGTTCCCGATCTCTTTTGTGCTTCACGGCAGCGTTTGCTTTCGCGGTCATGAAAAACAATGGAAATATTAAACGTTTACGTCAATTCGCACTGCTTTTCATTCTTTCTTCTCCTTTTAGCAAACAGGCTTAAGGACCGCACAGGATCCCAATTGTCAAATGGCAATAAATTTTTAATCAGTGTCAAAGTTTGATTTTTCACCGCAGCGGTGGTAGCATACTTTAAATTGCACGGATAGTTCTTGGTTTCGTTCAACATTGAACAAAGAGAGTGACCGCTATGAAGACCTATGAACACCGTCAGTACGTCTTTAGTATAGCCATTACCCCAACGCCCAGCTTTTTTCCGAGCTGCTTGCCTTCTGCTTCTTTCTTTCCCACTGCAAGTTCGAATCCCCGCCGATAATATTACTCAGTCTTGTTTCTATAACTTTCACGGCCTTCCAAACTGTACGCCTTTGGTATTCAGTGATATGGTAGCCCAGTGATATCTGGTTGATGCATATAAAACCCCTCAGGTGAGGCCATATACCCCCATAACAGCACACGTATAGCACTGAAGATAGCTTCCATAAGTCATTCATAGCAGTAAAATGAGACTATTGAGGACTATCATGAAGGCCCGGCAATAATTGGCATGCATTTATAGCTGAATTTATGGACCGATGAAAACGAAGCGGTGAGAAGAATAAGAATTTCTCGAGGCGAGAGAAACACA